GCTTTTAACAGGGCACTTCTGGCCGGGTGGTACGACGGTGGAGGTCATGCCATCTATGATCTCGGTTCCGGCGGACTGTCTCAGAAGCTCACCCTATCCGTACCCACAAAATGAGCCATTTGCGTTGCCAAAGGAGCCAGTTTGTTGAGACCAGGAGACCATCCCACGGCGGGGAATAAATGCCTCGGAACCGAGTGGGGTCGGAACTGGCCAAGCTGGACTCGGAACCGAAACCACACGGAACCGGTGAGAATACCCCAGAACCCCTACATCCTCTAGCAACCAGCATCGATATTGCATTATGAAGGCTAAATTCTGTCCCGGAAGTCGACCGTGACTACGGGATAGTGAGACAAAATCATTGGCTGAGACCGAAAAACTCCCACTTCGACGGAACAGCAGGTTTCTTGCAACTGGTCGGCACTCACAATGGTCGCCGAGCTAGAGCAACACGAGCGCGCCAACCCCGGATGGCCGACTAGAGTGGCTCAATCCCGACAACCAGCTCCACTTTCAGGGCCTGGAGAAAAGGTCTGCTTCCCCGCGGGACATGATGCTCTGGGGTAGAAATAGAACGACGGCCACAACTGTTTGAAGATGTGTGTGTCTGTCAGAATCGTGGAGTCAACCTGGCACTGCCTTTTGGCTCATTGATGGTGCCCATCTGGAACTATGGCTACCAAAATGTCCTCTGTACCAGCGGATAATGCCGCTTTGACTCGCACGGCACAGGCTGTGGCTGCTCGGGAAGTAGAGCAGCAGAGCTGGCTGGAGCGAAAGCTGAAGCCGACGAAGGTGAGGGCTTGGTATCCCTTCAAGGGAACCCCATTGCTCTATGCGACATGTGGTTTTGGCAGTCTGGGAGATGCCCTGTTTGGGTACAACTCTGGTATAATTGCCTCCTGTTTGGCGATAAAATAGTCATGTCACTTCGTGTCGTTGCTGATGGCTGTGTTCGATAGGAATTATGTCTGGTCTTCTCGTCAATCCAGCCTTTGTGGCTCGCTTCTTCAAAGACTACGGAGGTGCTGACGGCTCAACAACCGGAGTCGATCCTTCAATCACCGGGATAGCTGTTGCTTGTCTACAAGCGTCCGCAGCAGTGGGCGCACTTCTTGCAGGACGACTAGGCGATATGATGGGGCGCAAACGGTGTGTCCGTCTTGGCGGGTTTATCTACTTCTTCAGTGCGTTCATTCAGATCTTCGCTCCCGGCTTTGGCACCTTCATTGCCGGTCGCACCATTCAAGGTCTTGGTGTTGGATTTCTGTCTATGACAGTACCCATCATTCAGACCGAAATTGCCGCCCCTCATCGGCGTGGTTTAATGGTGGGAATCGAATATACCTTTCAGATAGCAGGTTATATGCTTTCATGTTGGGTAGACTATGGTTTCAATTTCCTTCTGCCCAGTGAAATGTCATGGCAAGGTCCATTCATTATTCAGATTGCTCTCTCTTTCATCTTGCTGGCCATGTCGTTCTTCCTCCCCGAGACACCTCGTTGGCTGGCCAAGAACGGATTCATGCAAGAAAGCTTGCAGACGGTCGCTGATCTGCACGCCAATGGCGATACTCAGGCGGAACATGTACAGCGGGTGTTTGTGGAGATCGAGGAAGCAGTTATCTTCGAAACCAATTTAGGGAAGTCGTCTTGGATGGTGAGTTCTTTTTCGCTTGTCGTGGGCAAACATTCGAGTTCAAAACTGACCATGGACAGGAAATGTTCACCCGATACCGCAAGCGGACCATCGTCGGAATCACCGTGCAGATGTTCGCGCAACTCAACGGAATCAATATCATCTCATTTTACCTTCCCAGCACACTTGCTACCGCAGGCTTCGATGAGCGTAAATCCCTTCTGTACACTGCAGCCAACGCACTCCCTTACACTGCGGCGACGATCTCGACTTGGTGGTTAGCAGACCGATGGGGACGAAAGCCATTGCTCATACTTGGAGGTGAGTCTATATCATCCCATTTCATATTGTTCAGTATCATCGTATACAATGTGGACACCCAGCTAAACATGCACCAAACCAGGTCTCGGGATGGCAGTCCTTCTTGGCATCGTCTGCGCCTTCACCGAAGCAGACCTGGACGTCCAGGTCCGCGCCAAGGGCCAATACGCCTTCGTCATGCTCTACAACATCCTATACGGCTTTACCTGGGGTCCAATGCCGTGGCTACTACCAGCTGAAATCTTCCCCTTGCGCGGCCGCAGTAAAGGAATGGCTCTGGCTACTACCAGCAACTGGATCTTCAACTTCATCATCGGCATGGTCTCTCCGGATGCGTTCGCCGGTATCAACGGATACTTTTACCTTGTCATTGCTGGGTTCTGTCTCTTCTCTGCGGGATTGGTATACTTCTACTATGTTGAGACGGCTAATAGCACGCTGGAGGAGGTTGCGGAGTTGTTTGGTGATACAGCTTTTGCGGATACTGATGGGGAGGCGAGGGAGGCGTCTGAGGTGCGGATAGATTATAGGAAGGATGTTGTGTGATTGTTCTGCTGTCCCACTAAATAGCATGGTAGGCCAGCTTGGATCGAATTGGCTATGCTTGCTGTCCGGCTGGCCAGCATATCAGCGTTCATACTACTCTTACGAAGTATGTTTATGCTTACGTATCGCTGCTGCGATGAGCCTTTCAGACGATGACGATGATGATGAACACGATACTTGACTTGTTAATTGCTCTATCTTCAAATACTATTTCTCTTACGCGTTCCCTGAATTGCAATTACTTAGTGAGCTACGATGCAAGCTTTCTATAATCAACAGACATGTTTCAGATAAGGGTAGAGCTAGCTAGATACCAAACGAGCGCGACAACAACAATGAATGAATGCCGATGATCAACGTAACCAATTCCAACACAGAAACCCACAGCTGACCCCAGCCCACATTGACACAAGACCATCGGCATTGTTGAAAGGCACGAAATAATCTGATGCCTACGATAAGCTTAGGATCGGCCCAGCTCTTTCCCCCTGATACCGTAACGATCATATTAAACAGGAGTCTGACAATCCACCGTCTTGTGGTGGTCATCGTATTCACAGTGGTGGCGATCAGTCTTACACTGTAAACAACATTAGCACACATCAATCAGCCCGGGACCCAACAGGGATGATTGTAAGAACATACCCTCAAATTTGTAGCTGAAGGACAGCTGACGACGTGGTTCTTCCCATCCTTTCGGTATGTGCAGGTGTTGTGCTCAAGACTGCATTCCTAAAACAGTTCATGAATGTTAGTGTTATCTCTATAATGATCAGGAGGAATATGTAGAGAGACTTACTCCACCGTATTTACTCAGCTGCGCGTCCCGGGCAAGGAGGTCGTCCGACTCGGTCGCGATGGGGTTGGCAATGGCGCCCATTGCGGCGAAGAGGATGATGGCGATGCTGGTGAGTTGCATTTTGGAGACTGGTTTGTTTCTTTTGAGGAATGATTGCGGTACTGTGCTGAGTTGATGGAGATGATACTTGTGAATTGAAGCGTCGTGGAGTTGTATTATATACTCTGGCAGATCGGGATACGCTTGCCATATTTGACAAATACTATCCTCGGTTTGAAGCAGCCATCATCGAGGCTATCGCTGAGGGATAGTCTATGCTCCAATGAAAGATATGCCTCATATGTTCTTGAAAGCAGCTTGACTTACCAGTTCGTGTGATCTCTTAGGTGAGGTGAACGAGATGTTAGTAATACGACTGGGGTGTTATAGTCCGCGCAGAAGGATCGTTGTACCGGGTGGCCTTACAACTTTGGGGATATTCGAATAAGGAAAGATCTCCTGATTCTCAAGGCAATGATAATATCCTTCGTGAGGAGCATGGCATAGGGCTCAACGCTAAGTGTGACTAGTGAGTTTGCTCAAACTGGTCAAGCCTTGAACCCTGCATACACAGCCCTGTAGCCTGCTGCAGGGCTGGGGCGTAAATCCTGCGGAATAGGGCGGACATGCGATGTAACGATGTAAGCATCAGGCACATGTGACGTGAAGTATTATTCAATATAGTCATGAGTATACAGGGCTCAGGGCCTGACTGATTTAGCTGCAGGGTTGCCATACGTTTGTGAAAACCTTGGAATGAAAGCCTCGGGGCAGTTTCATCTATATTGACTTGCAGTACTGGGTATGTATGTAGCTTCTTGTCTTGAAGTATAGTTCTCGAAAACTACGATGAATAGCATAGTTGAAGCCTTGTTCTTCTGCTTGTTGTATTAACTTACTCTAGGGTTTGTAGACTTCATCATGGTGAATAAGCACTAATGCCTTCTAAGGCAACAAATTATCATCGGCAGTTCATCCACAACTCAATACCCTTCATGCACCAAGTGCTTTGCCTTCCGGCCCGATCCGGATTCAATTGATGCTGAAATACTTTGAGGTCATGCTTGATAATCAAGTATGTCTGATTTAATTACCCAAAGTGGCTATCACTGTAACTAGACTGCCATATCTGTGCAACTGCAGCTAAAAGGGTTCGCTAGCCCCATGACCATCCGAGCGGCTCTCAGGCTAAGCATCTAGTTGGTCACATTGGATGTAACATCAAACAATGCTAATGTATGCAGGGCAACTCATCACATCCCGAGTACGACTCAGCCCTGCAAGCCGTCTTACTCACAGCAATGCGGGGTTGGTGACCTGTCCCTGCTGGATAGTTGCATGATCAACAGCTAATTCTGTCTTAGCTTCCGGCTGATCGACAACAAAACAAAGAAACTAGTCAAGCCCGTCAGCATCTACACGAGTCCAGATTCACATTTTGGGCTGTCAGCCTTGTTAGGCCCTATGTTGCTGCCTAAGATGCAGGGGTCCAGAAGGTCTCCTCACGAGAGAGAATCCCCTGCTTTCTCGTAGATGTTAAGTTTACAACAGTTCGTATCTCGGTCTGATTCTGTCAACTTCTTTGATTCCTCACTCTCTTCTATATCCTGTCTCATTTGATTGAACCATCGATCAATATTAGTATCAGCTTCCAAAATGGATCACCTCCGTGACTCCCTACTAAGCTCTCTGCCCAGAGACAGCCCTTCTACCGCAGCAAACGACCACGCTCGCAGAGACCAAGAAGACACCCGACAGGCCGTCGCACGTGGTGAATACCAAGAAGTTCGAGACATAGCCTTCAGCAACCGGACCTGGGTAGTGACCAGCCGATACTGCGACATCGGAGATGGCGTTGACTCTCTCGAGAATCACATCCATTCCCTATGGTACATGTATTACGAGCTTGGGCGAACTATCCCCTCCGACTCACGTGAGCACGAAGGGCTAGTCCTCGACATCCTCCGCATCCAGGGAATGGGTCCATTGACAAGACCCTCACGGGGTGTCAAAGGGATCGATATCGCACGAACTGTCGATGGTACATTGTGGAACGACCTCCCCTTCCTTGTTGGCGATATGACCGATTTCTGGATCAATCACAGTGCATCTATGTCGGGAACACACCGGCTTAACTTGGCTACATTCCTGGCTAAACTTGCCTCTACGCGTGTCACTAAGGATAGGCTGTGCCAAGTTGCTCTTTTGATCTTTCGCTCTCTGTTTGAGAGTCCCTTGCAACTTCGCTCGGGTGACGTGTCAGACGAGGAAGATGTCAATCGAGGTACGAAGCAGCTGGAGGTGTTCCATCTATTACCATCTGCTGTTGCTTGGCTGAAAATAGCAAACCACAACCTGCTTCTCCTCTCTGAGGTATATTGGAACGACTGTCCAAGCCACATCAGCAAGGGTGGTGAAACGTTCGTTGAATCTGATCTCGGACAGCGGTCACCTACAGGGTTCTCGCCATGGAGATACATGTTCTGGCTGAGGCGACTGCATGAGATTCAGGATGAGGCTAAGCAGGCGGATGAGAAATCTTTGGAGGAGCTCGCTGCTGATGGTATCCAGTACATGGTCAATACAATCAAGGATAGGAATTCTGAGGTTCTCAGAGCATATAAGAACGGGGGAGATGCCTTGCATCAGGATAAGTACCTTTCTTGTCTGAAGACCCTTGCTCGCGTTGGAGAGTAAGGGCTGTGGAGATTTGCAAGGTGTATATGGAGAGAATGTCCCTTCGGTCTTTTGGTCCTTCAAATTGTATGTCAACTTTCTCTCTGGGCTTCTTGTTGTCCTTCCTCCATTAACAATGACTACATTCTACATCAGAACCGTAGGTAGTAGTAAATCCCCGTCGGTAACATGATCAACAGTCACGATTAATGAAATCAATCCCGACATGTACGGCCGGCTGCATCTCCTACAGGTAAACAGTGATTGCCATAACGCAATACACCGGTGACTTGTATTCTGTTATGTCGATGTTTTTGAAGAATTTGCTATAAATTGAGCACAGGAATATTCGTATCTCCAAATTAACCCTGTTTTTCGGCATGTCCATAGTATGGTACTTTCTGCTGAAATGGGAGATGCATGGCATAGGGACGAGAAAGCCTTCTCTATTCCAGAAGTGGAGTTCATGGGCCAACCAACGGTCGCTAATTGAATCCACAGCACTTATGACTACTTTGGTGGAGATCAGCATGGGTGTGTGGGTGGGACGGCACTTCCTGCAACGGCAGACTAGCCTAGCGCTTGTTGCTGCATAATGGGAGAACTAGGCTGGGGCATGGGAGTGACAATATCCGGATAGACCGGATGTTCGATTGCGGGGTAGAATGGTTAATACTGTTAGCATACATGCTGGGTTGTTTGTGACTTAAGTCTTAAGGGTTCATGTATGGACGTGGAATTCATAAGCATTGCTATATCTGCCACATTTGAATGTATATTGACAGTATATTATAAGCGTATCATTAAGTCAGATATCGGTGGAAAATAGTCGCTGTGCATAGACCAGATAGCAAAGTCGGTAAGCAATGCCTTCAATTGGCTTTGATCTCGGTGGACCGTTTCATGCCGGATGTCATCACCGGTGACTGCAGCACCTTGTGCCAGTCATGCAGCATTGCCGTGTTGATAGTAGAGAGGCCGACTTCACTTCCCGCGCGGGGTATCATCTCATCTTCATATCCTTGGATAGCGTCAGCCTGAGTCGCCTCTCCAGAGACGATCTGTTTCACCGCTTCCACCAAATTGGCTGCATCGGTGATGGAATGATTCAATCCCTGGCCACGCTGATATGTCATAGTGTGTGCTGCATCACCAGCCAATGTTACCCGTCCCCCTCGGTTATCCCACCTATGGGATTGATCCCGCGGGTCAAAGTCGCTCAGGCCCATGTACCAGACTCGCTGGTCATCCGGCAGCCATTCAAAGGCGCTCTTCCAGGGGTCGGTGTAAGTCTTGGCAAATTTCTTGACTTGCTCAAGCCTTTGCACATTGCTCCAGCCAGCTGTCTCCCGTTGCTCCTGCAGGGAGGAGTGCCATGATATGTAGAAGAAGAATGTCCAGGTTTCTGGTCGCTCGCGATCTGTTGCTTCGTGTAGTCCAAAGAAAGAGAAATACCCCGCAGGGTTGATGCCAGCGATGTAAAGAGGGTGGAACTGGCGTAAGTATCGAGCACGCTCTGCAGAGTACTGGGCCTGAACAAAGGTGGCGCAGTAAGGAAGTCGGCGGACCTCCCCTCTGCTAGGACCCAGTAAGACACGCCGTGTCGTCGAGCGAGCTCCATCCGCGCCCACGATAATTCTCGCTAAGATGGATGAGCCATCTTCAAATATGGCAGTGGCATGTTTGCCATCAGCAGAATACTGGATGTCCTGGAGCTTTTTGCCATATTGAATGTCCAATCCCTGTTCTATCAATCCTCGTAATTTCCGACGACGCAAGCGATAGAAAAGGCAAGCAGGTATGGACGCCATGACCTCCCCTGACTGGCCGTTGAGGAAGTTGAGAGCATCCTCTTCTGCTGTGGGCTCATTAGGGTCGACCTGAACTGACTGGATTCTTGACCATTGCTCTTCTGGTAGGAGAGCTTGCAAGGGACCTGCACCCCAGTGCAAGCCCATGTTCCAGTCACGGTCATATGCATCTAAACTGTCATGTTTTTCTACCACGAGAGTAGGGATCCCAGCCTAAAACGGAGTGTTTAGCCAGGAGAAATTTAGTAATAGGTGTTATAGTACCTTTTTCAACCCCTGAGCCAAAGCAAGTCCAGTTGAACCTAGCTATAATCAGCTTTATGTGTCCGAATACTCAGTGCATGGCTTCTTCGTAGGGTAAGTCCAACGCAACTACCGAGTCTTACCTGCGCCCACCACGAGAACCGTGGTTGTGAGTTTCGGCTCGGGGGGAACCATCACGTTATTTAGAGTGTGCAAAGCTACAGACCTCGAGTGGGTACAAAAAGGAAGCTCGTGGGTTGACAGAAATATGGCCCGACTTTGTACGGTGGATTGGAAGGATGAGAGGACGAGTGGAACATGTCAAAAAATCCGTTATGATGGAATCAGAGATTCTACGCGCGCAAGGGTCATGACGGGCCTCCACGACTCATGACACTCTTGTGATTTGTCCACTGAGGCTTCGCCAATCTGCGGATCTCACAGGCGAACCCCAGTGGAACCAGGAAAAGTACTCCATACCACATTTCGATCGTGCCGCACATAGTGATCATTACCGTAAAACAGTCACATTGTCCGCTACTGCAAGATGATTCATGGGCAATTCAAGTCCCGGAGAACCCATGCACCACGGCATTAAGCAGCAAGTGCCGAAATTACTCCATTGCGAGTGCTGATCTGGGCTATTGATAAGCGGCTAGTATTACCCAATATGGGTAGACCACACATTGTGGGTAATTGGACATCATCACATCCGTAGACTATGCATGTTGTCACGAGTCATGATCTTTATGCACAATATTATTGACTGTCCTAGAGGAGTGTCGAACAGTCTCCAAAAGTGACAGTGGGTTCGGGAGGACCGAAGTCAAGGGAGAGCCGGACTTGAGTTGGTGACGTCGAGAATGCAGCATTAGTGTGTTGATAGGCGGAGACAGGCCGACGCCGATGGGAGGGGCACCATCCCCATTGCCAGATGGTTGCAGCGCAGCCAAAAAGGAGAGGAGGATCGTCATGACTTGCACGTTGTCTGCCAATGGAGTGGCTGCACTGCAGGATTCTGCAGCGAAATGCCGGCAGCGTGACTAAGCCACTCGTGCAGGATCAGCTGTACAGACTAAACCTAAGACAGTCTAGTGGATGCATCTGCAAGCCATGTGACCCGCATTCTACCGCATCCGATCGGAAAGAAATCAGAGAACATGTCCGAAAAGGAGCAAGCAGCAAAACTCAAACCAGCATCTGCCACCAATGACAGCATAGGAATAGTTACACCGCCTCGGCAGGTGACCCTGAACCCGAGCAGCCCGAGGCACTCCGATACGGCCGAGAGCCGATCATCCACGGGACTAAACCGCACTGGGCAGGTACCATCTGTCCGTTCAAACAGCTTCACCCTCAACACGTTCCACACTGCAATCAACAGTAAACCTTCATCTCCAGCTCGGAGCGTTGCAGACCGCTCAAACTCAGGTTCCGCTCTCTTCAGCTGTACCTGATGGCGTTCCCCCTTTCTTCTCGATCTTTCCGGTCGAATCCCTCTGCCTCCTTGTGCAGCTTCACCATATCGCAACCACCACACTAATCCCCCCAAATCTGAACCCCGCTTCTCCTATTCCAAAGGTGCTGGGTCTTCTACATTTGGTTCATGGGATATCACCCCCCTTGCACTGCCCCAACCGTTCGTGTGCCCCGTACGGAGGAGATCTCCGCAACCGTCCTCAGATCTCGGCTCCCGATCGCCGCCATGACCTCTTCCCGCTGCGAGGAGCATAGCCTTACCACTGAGATCTCATTGAACACCGAACTAGATACCCCACACCCTCTTTATTCTTCTGTCGACATGTCGAACCGCATGAGCGATGGCGAGGATAATATCGCGGATGATGACTCTGCGTACGGCGAGGACTCCTTGATCGGCGATGACACAATCACCTTGTCCACTTACATCACCGACTACCGATATGAGTATGGCCGACGTTATCACTCGTATCGCGATGGAGCCTACTGGGTGGGTTGTTCGGCTTTAAGAGCATTGTCCACAGCTGTGGGCTAACCGGTCATGTTTTGTCCTACAGGGCCCCAACGATGACATTGCCAATGAACAGCAAGATCTAGCGCATCATATGTATTGTCTGACCCTCGACGGGAAACTACACCTAGCCCCCATTTCGAATCCACAGGTATGCCTCATGACTGTCGGCCAGCGCGAACCGACAAGTGTCTAAGAATGCATCGCAGGAAATCCTTGATGTGGGTACGGGAACCGGGATATGGGCAACGTGCGTGATTCTATTCTCCTTCGTCTAATCCAAACCATAGACCTAATACTGACCTTGGCTTAAGTGATATGGCAGATGAATATCCCAGTGCCAAAGTTACCGGAGTAGACCTATCTCCGATTCAACCTGCGTTCGTCCCTCCGAATTGCGTATTCGAGATTGACGATGTGACGCTCCCGTGGACCTATGCGGAAAACCAGTTCGATTTCATTCACGTGCGGGAATTGTTCGGCTGCATACCTGATTGGGATGAGTTTTTTCGGCAATGCTGGCGTTGCCTCAAACCTGGAGGCTACATTGAGGTGGTAGAGCATTCGGTCGAACCGGTCGCGGATGATGGGACCGTGCCTCCAAATCACTTCTACCGACTCTGGGGACAAACCGTTATTGGTGCGGGTGAGCAGTTTGGCAAGACCTTTAAGATCTGGGAACAGAGTGCCGCACGCCTAGGTAATGCAGGTTTCGTTGGCGTTGTGGAGAATAAGTTCCAGTGGCCAATGAATGCGTAGGTCTTGCTCCTCTGTTTTCATGTTTCTTCTGGCTGACGACCACGATAGATGGAGTGCGGATCCCAAATTACATGAACTTGTAAGTGATTGTTCATTATCAGGTATTGCTACTGCTAACACGGTCTAGGGCCGCTGGAATCAGCTTCGACTGCACGGTGGGGTAGAGGGTTTTATGCTTCGTCTTCTCACTTCCACTTTGGAATGGTCATACGAGCGAGCTCAGGTGTTCCTCGCTCAAATGCGCGCGTCTCTGCGCGACTATCAGACCCATGC